GCAATGCTGTGCCAGGTGATGATGACTGATTCGAGGTAGTATATTCAACAAATTCTGAAAGTGACCTTCCATATTAGCACTGTATGATCTGCCCCCTTAGTGTATACATGTAGGCAAATACAATGTTGGGGAAAAAGGTTTATTTGCTGTCTTGCCTTGAGTTAGATGACAAGATCAGTGCTTAAAGAGGCACATCATGTTAATTAATAAGCTTTAGAAGTAACTGCAGGCAAAGTTGTTTAACCTTGTGCAGAGCCAGGCTCGCTGGTTCTCTCTTCCAGTCTTTATAAACAGCTCTCGCACAGGCATGAGAGTGATGTTGATCTTCTCAGCTAACTTTTAGCAGTTTAGTGATGAATTATATTTCCCAAAATATTGAGCTACACCTTTAAGGTTAAGCAGAGATCATAGTCATGGTTGAAAAAACCCATCATTGAATGTTTGCAAGAGATGAGAGGTGAACACAGGTCGTTAAACATGTCTAGTTAGTTAGTTAGTTATTAGACTGTTGAAACCCAAAGTAAATTTTCCTTGGAGGGGAATAAACCAACCAGTTGCACCCGGTTGGGGCAAAAAGTTACTGTGGCTAGGTTTAGGACAGGAAACATGGTGAGGACGTACCTTAAAATGACTCAGAGTTCACACAGATCCAAACTAGGGACTCCAGGGGAAAGTCCCAGATGAAAGTCCATTTTTTGTGATCCATCCACCACCTGAACCTGCCGCCTTACAAGCACTCAGGACTGGACCCTTGTTTATTGCCGTCAGCAGATTGGTCATGTGATCACAGCCTCTCATACATACGAATTTGGGTGCTTTTCGTGGGAAAACATACAAGCAATTTGTGAGAACAGCCTGAACAAACTCCACTAGTGTTCCAACAAAGCCTCATGTTCACATTTAGAAGCCAGAGAGGAACGTCGTGTTTTAAGGGGCAGAAAAGATTCAGTCAGCATATCCCACCTGCTGGACATCACTTTGATATCAGGTGTTACCAGGATGTAGCTGTGGAATGAAGTTAAGACTGTTTTAAAAGGCCACTCAGATGCAGAATGAGACCGAACACTGATGACGCCGGTGCCTGTCATGTGCCAAACCATCCTTGATGACTCTGAGCCTACAAAATTAAGGACGGTAAGTCATTTAGGAATCTACGCCATCAGAAGATCAAACTCTGCGTGTTTGAAAGTGCCGTACCCTGCTTTACACTGTCATCCTCACATCAGAATTATTACTGATTTTCTAAAAGAGCAAGACAGCAAAGAAGAGAGATATTTGTTTCTCATTTACCCTCTCACTCTCTCTTCAGTCTTTTATTTTCCTTCCACCTCGCAGGTCGTCTTTTCCTCTCATCATCTCGTCACCTGGGTTACCTGGCAGACAGAGGACCACGCTCAGACACTGAGTCAGACGCTGCAGTATAACGTAATGTATCATTTACATTCCCACACAGACAGAACCTTTGGTTGTTACCAACAACAATTATTCAGAAATGTCAGGAGATTAGCACAAAGTCTAAGATTTCCTTTACTGATCCAAACATGTCATACAGTCTGGCATGGTACAAAACCATGTATGTAATTTAACAGGTTTGTGTCATATAACTCAACCTGGTGAACAAGGTGAACAAAACCACATCACACACACTAAAAAGCCTAATCTTTTCTTCGTGGTACAAATCTCATCTGGTCATGGCTGCAGAAACAGAATGTAACCACATCTGATCGTCCGCGTTCAGACAGCCATGAAAAGATCAGATCTTTGTCACAGAGCGAAAAATCAGTTTTGTGGGCTCGGGCCTGAGTGGCTGCCGCACAGGCTGTGAGCTGAACATCACCATCAGTATCTGGGTCAGGACTTAAGTCAATCCTAATATCTGAAGTTTCACTTCTGGAAGTTAGGAAGTCTGTGAGTCCAAGAGGTTCTTTAAGGTTCTATATATAGAAATAAATCATTCCTGCGTTACCACTGAGACATGAGTGTGATTATTATTAGCAAATGTGCTGCTTAAACAAAACTCCAGCAGTTTCATGAAGCTGTACTTTAAGCTAAATGCTAACATAAAGATGCTAATGCTCATGACAGTGCTAACATGTTGATGTTTGGTAGGTTTAACGTCAAATTCACGTCATGTAAGTGAGACTTTAATTAGGAAAAACCAAGCAAGAAAAAAAATGTACTTCCAGTTTGATGATGAACACCAATACAATGGATTCAGCAATATTTAGACTGTTATACACACTTTTCTGTATCTTTGTCTAATTTAAGTTATGTTGTGGTTCAGTGGTGCAGTGGTTAGCATTGTGACCTCACAGCAAGAGGGTTACTGGTTTGAACCCTGGGGTGAGGGAGCCCTTCATTGCAGAGTTTGCATGTTCTCCCCGTGTCAGCGTGGGTTTCCTCCAGGTGCTCCAGCTTCCTCCCACAGTCCAAAGACATGCAGGTTAATTGGTGACTCTAAATTGGCTGTAGGTGTGAATGTGAGTGTGCCAGAAAAAGTATGTCCCAGTATGCCAAAAATACCAGGATGCTCTACTACATGCAGTCAAATTTTGCAGCATGCTTTTCTGGCTATTCTGACCCACAATTCTCTGCGCAGCGAAAGACACGTCACATCAACTGAGCTGCAAACAGATGACAACTTGACAGCTGTTTGACAGATGTCAGAAGTCGCAGTGACTGATGACCAGTCCAATAGTGATAATAGGAATTTGTTTGTTTATTTATTGGTTAATAAAATAAAATAATCATAAATATAACAGACAACAAAAGGGCATACATATTAGATAACAGTGACAGGGGAATGCACAGCCTCTGTAATTTCACAATTATGAATATGATATGTTAGAATCCACAATGTATGCAGTTATTACTTATTGCAGAATCACAACATCAGGTCTGTGTGGGTTAATCTCTGTCTCTGGTGAGCTCGATGAACAGCGTTTTGTTTATCTCCAAGGTAAGTGATGTAAAAGCAAGAGGGTCAAAGTTCAGGGCATAATGTTTGGAGGAAGTAGTATGTCCTGATTGTGTGCATACTGCATGCAACAGTACGTACTTTTCAAGGGCAGCTGCAGTACATACTAAAAGTAAAAAGAAAAAGTATATTTGGAACACACCCTATGTGTCAGCCCTGTGATAGTCTGGCGACTTGTCCAGGGTGAACCCTGCCTTTCATCCAGTGTCAGCTGGGACAGGCTCCAGCCCCCTCACGACACCCAACAGGATAAGTGGTTAAGGATAATAAATGAATGAAGTTATGTTACTACAAAGCTAGAAGTGGGTGTAACCATCCTGGGATAATGGTGTAAAATTCCCATGTGATGGGAAGTTGTTCTGTTCTTCCCATTCGCCAACATCTTGTGAGTAAAGAATACTGTTCACCATGGTCACCATCATAGCTTGGTAGCATGCATACATACACTAACTGGTAGTAAACTGTCTCTAGTTTGCATGTTTTTGGTCATAAAACAAAGTGAAATATCCAGCCTGTTTAATATTAGTTGAGATATTTCTGACCCAAAGTGTTGGACAGACAGGATCTACTCATAAATCAAAAAAAGCTTTTCCAGTGCAGACAGCTACATTTCCAGAATGTCTGCCCGTTGCAACACCCTGACATGGCATTAAAAAAACATCGATATAAGTCACAGCAGTAGCTTGTCCTGACCGTGGCGTTCACGCAGGATTTTGGAGGATCACGGTTGATTTGACAATGATTAATGGATGCCCAAAAGTGCTAAATGGAGCTTCTTTGATGTTCTTTTTCTCTCCTCAGCTGTCCTGCAGCGTGTCTGCTTTTGCCTCATTAACATCATTTCATCATTTCCTCTCTGAATTCAGCCAGGACGCACACCTCATGATATGCCATCTGTTGGAGGTCAGGAGAGATACTGTGTTCTGGGCTCTGGAGACCGCGACGAACCACCCGGAGACTAAAAGTATTCCCAGTGGAGACGCTGGACCTCTGGCTGAACGGATGAACTCCTCTACTGCTGACTGTGTGGAGCTGAAGGAGACAGCTGAGCCTCTGCAATTTAAAAACTTGTCTATGTTTTTGTTATACTGCACTTTTTCAGGTCATACCATATATACTGATGATGAGTGGTTTTTACACAAACTACATTTTGAAAAGCTGTTTTTCAAATACGCTCAAGGAGATTTATTCATGTATAATATTTTACACAAGGACATATACAAGTGTTTCACCTGAGAGCACAAATTGGGACTGTCAGGTTGATGTATGCGGCTTGTATTAACTGGATTGTTTCAGTTTTATAGCTCACACATGAAGTGCCCCTGCTACGACTGAGGCTATGTGCTGAGAGTCATTTTTCCTCATCCTCAAATAAAAAAACGCACACGTACATCGCATAAAAGTATTAATGTGACTGCCTTGAATGTCAACGTTGACATGCAGCACTGCTCGGAGGACAACTGTGTTGTCAATAGGCAAATGTCACTTCAATTAAAGCTCTTAAAGAGGGAATGTAAAGGTCAACCACGCTGTATTTACCTTGGCTTTTGTCAGAGTGAAAACCATTTTGCACATTTTGTGATTTTGGCCTTGAATTTGTTCCCTCAGGAAGCACTCTCCATTTCAGATTTGAACTTTAGAGTGTATCTGTTATTCCATTAGCAGGTTTGCAAAACTTAAATGGACAATTTTCTCTTGCATTATTGATAAAGTGTTCACATTGTGCGCTTGGTCAGTCTAACGGACGACCTGACCACTCCACCACTCTGCTATTTCTGACCACATGCCGGAGGCCTCTCCAAGTGGCTGCATTCAGCCTTATCTCTGCTGTGTGTCTGAATAAGAAGGGGTCTCTACTCCTTATCAGTTTGTCCGTTACATTCCTGGCACCAGCGGTTGGACAAACTGCCATTTATGGCTAAAGGAAGAACACTATAGAGCCCACGCTGTGCTCCACTGACCCACAATGCACCAGGACTTTATAAAAACCCACAGCATAGACCCCTGGACAGAGAGAGAGAGGTTAATAGCTTTTTGGTAAACCACTTCTGTGACTGTATTTTGTCAGTATTTATTCTGAGGAGGCTTCGAATTAGAGCACAGGTCTTGTTTTCTGAGGCTGAGGGTGCTATACATACATGCTATACAATATTGAGAGTGGGAGTGTGTTTTCCATCTGTGTGCGTATCCTCTGCCATGGCATCGCTAACATCCTCCAGCCGCAGATCCTCCTCATCCTACCGCTCATCATCACGGTACAGCACCTCCAGCTCCTATCGGTCAGAGGGCTCACTGGGTGGATCATCCGATTCTCTGGATCCCCTTTTCGAGCCATTTCTTGACTCTACTGATCACTCCAGTCTGTTTGGAGAAGAAAGCTCCGGGGGAACCAGCTGTTTGACCCCCTTCAGCAGCTACAGCAGAGCCTCCTATGGACACACTGGTAAGGGGAATTGACTGCTGCTGAGCTCCGTCTTCATTACCTACTTTGACATACTATACTATGACTTTTTTTGACATGCTATACTATGACCTTTATAACATGTTATACTATGACTTCTTTGATATTCTATACTATGACCTTTTTAACGTGTTATACTATGACTTTTTTGACATGCTATATTATGACTTTTTTGACATACTATACTATGACTCTTTTGACATATTATACTATGACATTTTTGACATACTATACCATGACTTTTTTGACATACTATACTATGACTTTTTTGACATGCTATACTATGACCTTTTTAACATGTATATACCATGACTTTTTTAACATACTATACTTTGACTTTTTTGAAGTACTATACTATGACCTTTTTGACATGCTATACTATGACTTTTTTGACATACTATACTATGACTTTTTTGACATGCTATACTATGACTTTTTTGACATGCTGTATTATGACTTTTTTGACAAACTATACTATGACTTTTTTGACATGCAATACTATGACTTTTTTGACATGCTATACTATGACTTTTTTGACAGACTATATCATGGCTTTTTTGACATACTATACTATGAATTGTTTTTTTGACATACTATACTATGACTTCTTTGACATTGTATACTATGACTTTTTTGACATTCTATACTATGACTCTTTTGACATGCTATACTCTGACTTTTTGACATACTACACTATGACTTTTTTGACATACTATATTATGACTTTTTGACATACTATACTATACTATACTATGACTTTTTTGACATGTTATACCATGACTTCTTTGACATGGTATACTATGACCTTTTTGACATTCTATACTATGACTCTTTTGACATGCTATACTTTGACTTTTTGACATATGATACTATGAACTTTTTTTTGACATATCACACTATTCCTTGTTTGACATGCTATACTGTCACTTTTTTTCCAGACATGCTGTTCTGTGACTTTTTTCTACATACTATACTATGACTTTTTCATGATGATCCACGTAGAAGATGTGGAAATAAAGAAACAGCATTGTTCTTGTGTTGCAGGGTAGAGGCTATTAGTCCGAATATTATACAGTAAGTATGATAAAGAAAAATGTAAGTTCAGACTCTTATAACACAGCCAGGATTTGTTGCTTGGCTTACATATTTAATCGTATTCAGACAGTATATTTTCATTTTAAACATTCCAATATAATGTTAAAAGTAAAAATAAATGTAATGTCACTCTGGATAATGTTGGCTGTGGTGAATTTCTTGTTTTTCCTTTGTAAAAATGTTACATAAGAGAGGTTTAATGATCCTTCCCAGCATCATCATGCTCAATATCTCCACTGGGGCAGTTGAGCTTTAGTGCCACGCTCATGGGTACCTTGGTAGCATCTCTTGAGGCATAGTGTAGAGCCTTTTTCATTCACTTTCTCCCCCAGCAGGAAGGAGGCATTAGTATCTCACATTACAGCAGTGGGTTGATTGAAAGAAAAATGCCACAGAAAAGAAAAAGACCTGCGGCTCAGAGAGAGTAATGAGCCAGAGTCGTAAGAGCTTGTGTGCTCTCTGTGAGAAAAGAGTCTGTATGGCTCCAGACATTGTCTACTGGGACACATAAAGAACTAATAGGAAGGTGAAAAAAAAGGAAAAGCGGAGCGCTAATATAAAACACAGGAGAGACTATATGGAGCGTTAAAACAGTTCTGCTGCCGCATAAAGTAGTAGCAACCACAAAGTGAAAAAAAAAAGGTTTATTACTGGTGTGATGCGAGAGATGAAAGAATAATCAATAATCAGGCTTAAAAATTGATTTCATTTAAACCATACAGAATATTTCAGTACTCAAATGTCAAATAAAATAAAAAAGAAGACTGAGTTTCTTATCAAGAGAAGGTTTGTCTTTTTCCAGACTGGCAGTAAACCACATTTACAGTGAGAACAAAAGCTTGAGTCTCTCATAGTATTTAATGGCCTTTGTTTTTGAGTCTGAACATAAAATACAAAAACACCCCAAACAACTGAGCATTAATACCTGGCTTGACTATGTGGCGCTCCAGAGTATAATTATATGTCATAAATGAGGCATCATGAATTACATAATTGTGTGAGGTAGTGAAATTGTAATGAACAATCATTTGTGAAGTTAGCTAAGAAAAATATTATGAAATGTTATTTCATTATTCTTGTTTTCATAATAACAGAGTTTAAATGGAGTTAACTTGTATTTTATTAAACAGATATGGTACAGTATGCCATAGAACTTAATTAAAAATTCATTAACAAAGCCATCACAAAGTGTTCCATAAAAAAGGCCATATAAATGTCATACTATAGTATGACACATGATACATTAAATATAATATTAAATATCATATTATATATTAAAAAGTCTAAGTATGGCATGTCAAAAAAACAACAAAAAAAACTGCTCTACCATGACTTTTTCAACATACTGTACTATGAATTGTTCTGACATACTATACTGACTTTTTTGACATTGTATACTATGACTTTTTTTGACATACTATACTATGACTTTTTTGACATGCTATACTATGAATTTTTTCAACATGCTATATTATGACTTTTTCAGTATATAACACTATGAATTGTTCTGACATGCAATACTATGACTTTTTTTGACATACAATACTATGACTTTTTTGACATGCTATACAATACGTTTTTTCAACATACTGTACTATGAATTTTTTCGACATGCCATACTATGACTTTTTTTGACATGCTATACTATGACATTTTTCGACATACTACACTATGACTTTTTTTGACATGCTATACTATGACTTTTTTCAACATGCTATACTATGAATTTTTTCAACATGCTATACTATGACTTTTTAAGTATATAACACTATGAATTGTTCTGACATGCAATACTATGCCTTTTTTCGACATGCTATACTATGACTTTTTGACATGCTATACAATAAGTTTTTTCAACATACTGTACTATGACATTTTTGACATGCTATGCTATGACTTTTTTCGACATACTATACTATGACTTTTTTGACATACTGTACTATGAATTTTTTCGACATGCTATACTATGACATTTTTTTGACATGCTATACAATACGTTTTTTTAACATACTGTACTATGAATTTTTTCAACATGCTATACTATGACTTTTTAAGTATATAATACTATGAATTGTTCTGACATGCAATACTATGACTTTTTTCGACATGCTATACTATGACTTTTTTGACATGCTATACAATACGTTTTTTCAACATACTGTACTATGACTTTTTTTGACATGCTATGCTATGACTTTTTTCGACATACTATACTATGACTTTTTTGACAAAGTATACTATGACTTTTTTGACATACTGTACTATGAATTTTTTCAACATACTATACTATGACTTTTTCAGTATATAACACTATGAATTGTTCTGACATGCAATACTATGACTTTTTTGACATGCTATATTATGACTTTTTTGACATGCTATACAATACGTATTTTCAACATACTATACTATGACATTTTTCGACATGCTATACTATGACTTTTTTTGACATGCTATACTATGAATTTATTCAACATGCTATACTATGACTTTTTCAGTATATAATACTATGAATTGTTCTGACATGCAATACTATGAGTTTTTTGACATGCTATATTATGACTTTTTTGACATGCTATACAATACGTTTTTTCAACATACTGTACTATGAATTTTTTCGACATGCTATGCTATGACTTTTTTTTGACATGCTATACTATGACATTTTTCGACATGCTATACTATGACTTTTTTTTGACATGCTATACTATGACATTTTTCGACATTGACTTTTTACAATGACTATAGTATATAATACTATGAATTGTTCTGACATGCAATACTATGACTTTTTTCGACATGCTATACTATGACTTTTTTGACATGCTATACAATAACTTTTTTCAACATACTGTACTATGACTTTTTTTTGACATGCTATACGATGACTTTTTTCAACATATTATACTATGACTTTTCTGACAAACTATACTATGACTTTTTTGACATACTGTAGTATGAATTTTTTTCGATATGCTATACTATAAATTTTGACATACTATAGTATGACTTTTTTGACATACTGTACTATGAATTTTTTTGACATGCTATACTATGACTTTTTCAGTATATAATACTATGAATTGTTCTGACATGCAATACTATGACTTTTTTGACATTCTATACTATGACATTTTTTTTGACATGCTATACTATGACTTTTTCAGTATATAATACTATGAATTGTTCTGACATGCAATACTATGACTTTTTTTGACATGCTATACTATGACTTGTTTGACATACTATAGTATGACTTTTTTGACATACTATATCAATCAATCAATCAATCAATCAATTTTATTTATAAAGCCCAATATCACAAATCACAGTTTGCCTCACAGGGCTTTACAGCATACAACATCCCTCTGTCCTTAGGACCCTCACAGCTGATCAGGAAAAACTCCCCAAAAAAAAACCCTTTAATGGGGGAAAAAAATGGTAGAAACCTCAGGAAGAGCAACTGAGGAGGCATCCCTCTTCCAGGACGGACAGACGTGCAATAGATGTTGTACAGGACAGATCAGCATAATAAATTAACAGTAATCCGTATGACACAATGAGACAGAGAGACAGAGAGAGAGAGAGAGAGAGAGAGATGCAGGACAGACAGTAATGACAGTAGCTTACAGAAACATTAATGAAAGTAATAATGTTATAGTTATAATTCTGGCTACTGTGGTACAATATGTTGAAAGTATATATTAATATCTGGCAGTATACATGTGTGACAATAATCATATGTGTATAATAACAGTAGAAGTATGACTAATGACTAATGATGGCAGCAGCAGCAGGAGGCATCTGGCAGGACCACGGCAGCAGCACAACCACACACGTCACGCTGTCCAGGCACCGCTGCGATATGAGTTAATCTGAGAGACAGTGGAGCACAAAGACAAGAAGTACAGGGCAAGCCTGAGCCAGCCCTAACTATAAGCTTTATCAAAGAGGAAAGTCTTAAGTCTAGTCTTAAATGTGGAGACGGTGTCTGCCTCCCGGACCGTAACAGGAAGATGATTCCACAGGAGAGGTGCCTGATAGCTGAAGGCTCTGGCTCCTGATCTACTTTTGGAGACTTTAGGGACCACGAGTAACCCTGCGTTCTCAGAGCGCAGTGTTCAGGTGGGATAATATGGCACTATGAGCTCTCTAAGATATGACGGAGCTTGACCATTTAGAGCTTTACAAGTTAACAGTAGGGTTTTAAATTCAATTCTGGATTTTACAGGGAGCCAGTGCAGCGAAGCTAAAACAGGAGAAATATGATCTCGTTTCTTAGTTCCTGTTAGTACATGTGCTGCTGCATTCTGAATTAGCTGGAGAGTTTTTAAGGACTTACTAGCATGTCAAAAAAGTCATAGTATAGTATGTTGAAAAAAGTCATAGTATACTATGTTGAAAAAAGTCATGGTATAGTTTGCTAAGAAAGTCATAGTGTAGCATGTCAAAAAAGCCATAATATAGCATGACGAAAAAAGGCATAATGTCAAAAGAAAGTCAGAGTATAGCATGTTGAAAAAGGTCATAGTATAGCATGTTGAAAGAAGTCATACTATAACACGTCAAAAAAGACAGAATATTGGATGTTGAAAAAGAGTCATAGTATAATATGTCAAAAAAATGGTGTATGGTCAAAAAAGTCATAGTATAGTATGTTGAAAAACGTCATGGTATAGTATGTTAAAGAAGTCCTAGTACAGCATGACAAAAGAAGTCATAGCATAGTATGTCAAAAAAAGTCATTCTATAGCCATAGAAGCCATAGTATAGCATGTCAAAAAACTCAAAATATAGTTTGGCAAAAAAGTCGTAGTATAGCATGTCAAAAAGGTGACTGTATAGCATATTGAAAAAGTCATAGTATAACATGTCAAAAAACTGTAAAATATAGTTTTTCAAAAAAGTTATAGTATAGCATGTCAAAAAACTCAAAATATAGTTTGGCAAAAAAGTCGTAGTATAGCATGTCAAAAAGGTGACCATATAGCATATCGAAAAAGTCATAGTATAACATGTCAAAAAACTGTAAAATATAGTTTTTCAAAAAAGTTATAGTATAGCATGTCGAAAAAGAGTCATAGTATAGTATGTCAAAAAAGCCATTGTAGAACATGTCAAAAAGTCATTGTAAAGCATGTCGAAAAAACACAATATAGCACGTCGAAAAGAAGTCATTGTATTTCATGTCAAAAAAGTGTATATTGTATAATATGTTGAAAAACGTCATGGTATAGTATGTTAAAGAAGTCCTAGTATAGCATGTCAAAAAAGTCATAGTGTAGTATGTTGAAAAAAGTCATGGTATAGTATGTTAAAAAAGTCAGTGTAGCATGTCAAAAAAAGTCATAATATAGCATGACAAAAAAGGCATAGCATAGCATGTAAAAAAAAGCCATAGTATAGCATGTCAAAAAACTCAAAATGTAGTTTGTCAAAAAAGTTATGGTATAGCATGTCACAAAGGTCACAGTACAACATGTCAACAAAATCATAGTATAGCATGTGGAAAAAAGTCATATTATAGTATGTAAAAATAGTCAAAGTATAGTATGTCAAAAAAGTCATGGTTATAGTATAGTATGTTGAAAAAAGTCATGGTATAGTATGTTAAAAAAGTCACAGTATAGTATGTCAAAAAAGTCATAGTATAATATGTTGAGAAATGTCATGGTATTGTATGTTAAAGAAGTCCTAGTATAGCATGATAAAAAAATTCATAGCATCGTATGTAAAAAAAAAAGTCATACTATAGTATGTCGAAAAAAGCCATACTTTAGCATGTCAGAAAAGTCATAATATAGCATGTTGAAAAACTCAAAATGTAGTTTGTCAAAAAAGTCATAGTAACCATGTCAAAAAGCTCACAGTATAGCATGTTAAAAAAAAGTCATAGCATAGCATGTTGAAAAAGTCATTGTAAGCATGGCGAAAAAATTCACAGTTTAGCATGTCATAAAGTGAAAGTCTATCATATCTAAAAAAAGTCAAAGTATAACATGTCAAAAAAGTTATAGAGATGTATGTCAAAAAAGTCATAGTATATTATGACAAAAAAGTCATTGTATAGCATGTCATAGTAGGCATGTCAAAGAAAGTAATAGTATGGCATGCCAATAAGGTCATAGTACTGTACGTCAAAAAAGTCATAGTATTGCATGTCAAAGAAAGTCATCGTAAGTCGAAAACTGTTAAAAAAAAATATTGCATGTGGGGAGGAAAAAAATCATATGATAGTATGCCAATAAAAGTCAGAGTTTGCCTAAGTAAGTAAAAAAAATAAAATAAATTATAGAATCGAAAGTTGAAAAACTCTTGAAAGGTCAACCATAGCATGTTGAAAAAAATTGAATTGTATAATATTTCATTCAAAGTACCCTTATTTACATATATTTCTACATGCATGAGATGAAATGTTTACCCGAACATGTTAACATGGTTTCACAGCTCCAGACTCTTGTGTTGTGTTTCTGCAGCTCCTGTAGGAGGCGCTGTGACAGGACGGCAGAGCAGCACAGGTGGAGGAGTGCAATGTCTGGGAGACAGCTACTTCATGTCTGCTGATGTCAGCCAGTTTGAGCCGCATGACGTGGTAGTGATGGCCTACAACCACCATGTTGTCATTCACGCTCAGAAGGTGTGTGTGTGTGTGTGTGTGTGTGTGTGTGTGTGTGTGTGTGTGTGTGAGGTTATGTCTGTACAGCTATCATTGTGAGGACGAGTCCCTTTTTTTAACCTCTGGAGTCAGGACCATTCTTCAAAGTGAGGACATTTAGGCTGGTCCTCATTTTTTTTCACTTTAATGGTCTCCAGAGGTTTTAAATGCTTGTCTCGCAGTTTCAGACAGGTCATCATGTGCTTCTGTGTGTGTCTGTAATCCAGATGAACAAACTTTTTGCTCGCTATTGCCCCTTCTGACACTTTTGAGAAAATGCACCAGAGAAACTTAAAGGGGAACACCACCTAAATTAAAAATTGAAATATGTTATTTCCTAGGAAAGTCCAATCAATATTTGTAGACCAAGCCAAATGACCTCATTCTATTTTAGTGTTCTCAGTTCTGAAACAGAAAATGTGCCCATATACTCAGAACATTCCCCTGGGTGCTCTCAGTGTCATCTATAACATCTTTCCCTATTCACTGTCTGTAGAGCAGCTCCAAACATTATACCCTGTGATGTTACAAATTTGAGATTTAGAACTTCAGTTTTTGGATTTGGGAGAGAGTTGTTCATTTTTACTAATATTTTTGGACTCTCTTTGACCACATTAGGCCCGTTTCCACCGCAGGAACTTCGGGGTAATTTTACGGGGCCAGGGCCATTGGTGCGTGTCTCCACCGCAGGAACCACCCCCGAGGAACAGAGTTCTGGAACTTTTACGGGGGCTAAACAAGTCCCTGCTTCAGAGTAGGTACTCAGAACGGCCCTGAAAGACTCCTGGCTGGGGCTTGGGGATTACTTGGTGCTGATTGGATATACTCAAGGCGGGATGTGACGTCAACAGAAAGCAACAAAATAGCCGGCATTTTTAAAACTCAGCAGACGAGGGTTAGCTCGTTCATATAGCTTTCGCCGCCATGTAAAAAAACTCACTAAATGGCCCGTGAAAAATTTATTCTTTCCAGCGGATATCTTAGTTACAGCATGATTGAGCTAGCAAAGCAGTTTTGTGTTGCTATGTGTGGTATTTATTCAGTTTTGGGAAATCACGATGTCTAGAAAGCATCAGCTGACAGGGACAGCTAACAGCAGCAGCAAAGCTAACATCAGGACGTCATCTGTAAAAAGCCTCCCGTTGTCGGATACGACATGAAACTACTCCAGTTAGCTCAATCATGTTGTAACTAAGACATCCGCTGGAAAAAATATTTTTTTCACGGACCGTTTATTGAGTCACTGAGTTATTACAGACACCGCTATCGGCTAACGGCGTCCCTACATCGCCCTGATCAAAATGGTCGTGCAACGATTACGTCACATCCAGAGGCAGCCCGTAACTTTACAGGAACCTTCCTCGTACTCCGCTCTCAGTGGAGACACGGTGGTTGAGAGGGCCAAGCGAGAGGACGTTCCTGTAGTAGTTCCTGCCCCCCAAATAGTACCAGGAACTTCTTCATTGGAAACGGGCCTATTGATAACCCATTTTGAAAATGGGTGTTCCTCTTTAAACCATAGATACAGACAATCACAAGGTTTATTGAGTGAAATGAAATACATCATACGAAACTTCATGCTGGGTAATACGATATACTTTTGAAAAATACTTTTAATACACACCCTCATAAGTACAACACACCTCTGCAAATGTATTTTAGATTGATCTGTATCGTTAACAGAACTTAACATCTTTAAATGAATTGACCATTTTCATGCAGAATACATCCAGATAATCAGTGCAAAACCTCACAATAATATTCAGACCAGCAAGAATCATCAACCAGATATGCTTAAAGACATTATTATAATAACATTTATGCTGCTCACACTAATAATACAAATGCAACAGCAGCTGCCACATACTGATTAGTCATTTAAATGGTTTGTTAATTAACTGAAATAATTTATCAGAGTTTTTGATGGGTCATTGCTAAATCCATTTATCAAGTAAAAATCCCACTTATATATAAGCTTATAATAAATAATACTTGCAGTTTCTTAAGTCTGTGGATTTACTCCGTTTCTCTATTAAACATGATTATAAATTCATATATTAGAAAGAAAAATAAAAAATTGTATCACCACCAAAAATGAGGCATTACTGGTAGACATTTCACAAGGTCAAAAGCCATAAAGGTTCCACTAAATTAATCTGTAGTGAAAATATCACCATGGCACAGTGGTGCAGTGGTTAGCAATGTCACTTCACAGCAAGAGGGTTCCTGGCTCGAACCCGGGGTCGGGGGTTTAAACCTCGAGGTGTGGGAGCCCTTCTGTTTAGAGTTTGCATGTTCTCTCTGTGTCAGTGTGGGTTTCCTCCAGGTGCTCCAGCTTCCTCCCACAGTCATGACGTGACTCTGAATTTTCCGTAGGTGTGAATGTGAGTGTGAATGGTTGTCTGTCTCTATGTGTCAGCCCTGTGATAGTCTGGTGACCTGTCCAGTGTCAGCTGGGATAGGCTCTGGCCCCCCTGCAACCCCTAGCAGGATAAGCAGGTAAGAAAATGAATGAATGAATGAATGAATGAATGAAAATAGCATTGGCTGCAGCACTACTCTACATATCATTGCATGTATATATTAATATCAGTGTTTTCTCATAAACAAACAGTGACTCATCAGATCTACAATAAACACAGGATCAAACTGTATCACCTCCATCATGTTAGACTCAGACATGTTCTGTCAGTTCTCCAGAGAAGCTGCAGCTTGCTTGTCTGCCTCCTCTCTTTCCCTCCACCCTCACAGTTTGACATTAATCATGTTTAAATTGTGGGTGAGTGGAGGAGGAAGGAGTGAGAGCCTCTGCTGCGGTGCAGGAAGATCACTTTAACAGGGGTCAGCACACAAATTGGCAAAAACCCACGACCGTTCAACTCCCCTTACAGGCCTGTAACAGAGGAAAAAAATCTTCAGAGAGAGCTAGTCAGTGTTCATTTCTCTCCTCCTTTCCTCCCTTTTCTCTCGTTCTCCACCAGCTGAGCAGTGCTGACCTCTCCACCCTTCTCTCCATCACTGCTTCTCACCCTGTTTTCTCGCCCTCGCGCCTCTCTTCACCCTGTTGCTCTTCTCACTTTCTCCTCCCGTCCTCCAGTGTTCGGCGACCTTTCTTTTCATCATCTTTTCCTCCCTCTGTTTACCCCCCTCCAACAGCTGTCCCCTCCATCTACAGATAAATGCCTCCATCCACAGCTCCATCTTTCTTTAACCTTCTGTTTATGTCCTTCAGGTACTGGATGATGGAAGTGTCAGTGACACATTTACCCACAAGTCCCTGTTTCCAGAGGATATGGACCCGTTGTCTGTCAGTGGGACCCTTAACCCTGATGGTACCCTTGTGGTGAGGGTCCGCCGGACCACAGCGCTGGGTGGGCTGGAGCCCCCGGGTGTCCCGACCTACTGCAGTGAAGCTCACCTTTGATTTGTGGCCTCATAGTTTTTTTTTGTTTGTTTGTTTTTTACAGTTCTCAGCTGTTGAAGTGTTATCATTTTAATAAAGTGTTGTAGGTGAGGTAGACTCACTGACCTATCAAGCTGACACTGGAATTCAAATGAATGATCTGTACGTATTATATAATATAATAGTAATAGTTATTTTTGTCCATTTGCTCAGTGTATTGTTCCATGGTAACATATCTCAACAGCTTTTGGCCAGATTGCCATTATATTTAATTTAATATTTAACATTAATTTAAACTATGGAATTTATCTTACTTTTTTATTTTCATCTTGTAAATTCCTGGTGCAAACGAAGTCTTTTTCGGCCACGCAATAGATGTTGTTACAAAAAGTCTTTAATAAACTTTTGTTCATCATAATGGTGTTTTGTTTAATGTGACGTTCTCCCCACTCCATCAATGGTCACAGGAGCCAGACAGAGGAAGCTGTTAGAAGTTAAATCGCTGTCTGGCTGGATTTGAATCAAACAGAGATGTGATCAGCCCACACAGTCCAACACTCAGGGTGAATTTATTTGACCTGAAACACCTTCTACTTTAATTTAAATCTTGAGTCAGCAGATTTCAGTCTGCAGAGTGTTTCTCATCAGGAATAAATGGGCGGATATTAGCAGCATTGGCTCTGACAACAACCAGACACTTGTCCTGGGCCAAGTGTGATAATTGGACTGACGTGAGGCTTTGAACAGATGCAAAATGAAGTCTCGTGCCTGTCACTACTCATCACCTCTACCTGTGTCTGAGTCCTCTCCCTACCTGTGGGGGTCCATGATTCCTTAAATGTAACCCTCAAACCATATTGATGGTGTACACACAACATACAGAACTCTGACACAATGGCACCTGGCATAAAAGAATAACATTATAAATTACTCAGACAGAGGCAAGACAGCCTTCAAGAAGAACCTTAATTAAATGTATTATTATGCAATAACACAATAACTTAACTAGGGGTGACCCTGAATAGTCGATGATTCAGTGATTCGATTCGGAGAAGTCTGATTCGACTGCCAGTCTCGCTGTCGAATCGTCACAAAATGTGGTTATGAAACAAGACCGTACCATTCTGACTATATGGGGGTGTCAGTAGGCATAATCATTACTACGCATGAATAAATCACCCAGTTGCTCGATCCAAATAAGCGGAGGTGAGTGAGTGCGCTGCAGGACCATCAGAGCAGCATCGAGGCCTACGGTGATTAATGAGTGAGATAAGGAAAAGGATGGATGGAGATGAGAATGACCTAAAATTCGTTTACCTAAAGTGTCTTGAAACGAATTTCACCGCTGATTATTTTCTTGATAGACTCTGATTTTTTATTTATTTATTATCACTAGTCTGTCTGAACAGGCAGGGGGGGGGCCTCACGAGTGAGGCCGGGAGTGCGGCCAGGCGTGGGGATTTCAGCACCACGGACAGTGCGCGTAAAAAGACTTACACATTTAAAAAGAGACAAGCATCTCCTTTTAAATGTGTTTGCTGCTAGCGAAAGTATACATAATAAATGAAGACAGTGACATATTTTCAATAAAAAACAATGAGCTGAATGTTCATTTCAAGCTTTTGCAGTACAACGAAATCCAGAGTGCGGCCGGAGAGTGGCCGGCAGTGTTTGATGCAGGAAACTCGATATGGACTTGAAAATCAGTTTGGGAGTGGCGGTGTTTCGGAATGGAGGGCTGTCCCCGGCTGGGCAGCGCGTCTGCGCTCATCTAGAGCATCATACCTTGATGAAGTGAAAGTAATAAAGATAAAGATAAAATGATAACCCTTTTACTTGTATTATTATTATTATCTTATTATGCCAACTGAAGAATTAAATTTGTTTATTTGGGTGTTTTAGCTCTTTTCTCTGGAGTGGAAACTGACGCAAATGAGCTCATTAATCATTGCGGGGGAAAACAAGATGATTCGACGATTAGTCGGCTAAAGGAAAAATCTGTCAAATCAGATTTGACTATGAAAATTCTTAGTCAGGGACACCCCTAAACTTAACCCTTTGAAATTTAGAGTGACATCACTTTTCTTGTGTTGCTTTCAGAAGCCAATCTCAAGTATTTAAACCTTTGAAGGCTGACCAACTTGGTATGATTAAAAAAAACAACAGTAACAACAACAACAACAACAACAACAACAAAACTATGACTTTAAAAGAAAAAAAGTTAGGAAAAAACTATATTTATAATAAAAATAATAATTATTACATTTTATAAAAATTATGTTACAGAATTACTACAATTCTTGTTTGTTTGTTTGTTTTTAGCTTTATTTTCTTTGTTTCTTTTTTATTTTCTTGTTTTTAATTTTCTCTTTTTACTAATTTATTGCTATTTTTTTCTTCTTTCATTGCTCATTGATTTCTTCTCATGTTTTTAAAAGGAATCAAGCAATTTGCCTAGGTTTCCAAGGGTTAAAGGAGCAGTATGTGACATTCAGAGGATGTTGAGGATTCTGAGCCTGAGCCAAGATTGCCTGCACTTGACTTTCAACATGAAGTTGGCTAGCCAGTGGCTAGCAGCTAACGGGGCTAACAGCGCAAACAGTACTTACTACAACAGTAACTACAGAGCTAACAGTGTTAATGTGAGGGGGAATTGCAGAGTGGGCTCTATGCTTCCAGGACGATGCCACTGCCACGGTGGGTTGGGATGGTGGTGGCAGCAACAGGGACTCACATACACCAACATGCAGGTGGGGCTGGGCTGTCGACCACAACAAAGAACAAAGATGCTCAGATTTAAACACACACAGAGGCAGTGTGATGTCATTCCCTGCTCAGGGCGCCATTAGTCTACTATATCTTTACATGGCCTATAGTTTTTAAAGTTCTGAACATCATCAGGACCTTTAAAGCTGCATTCATTTAACTGATTTGTTTGCCACTTGCAGCAAAGTCAGTTTATTTAAAGTTGTGTTTCTGACTACCTCATCAATTTAAGTGGAATATTCACCTTCCCTGAAGGAAATATTTGTCTCTTTAGCTGCTGAACTACTGTGTTCACCTGCTGATTGATAGCTTTTCTGTCTGCTGTTTGATTCCAGACACGTAGTGTAAAGGTAAATGGACTGGACTTGTATAGTGCCTCTCTAGTCTTCCGACCACTCAAAGTGCTTTTGAACAGCGTCATATTCATCCATTCACACACACAGGTGGCCGAAGCTACCATACAAGGTGCCACCTATTACTCAGTAAGCATTCACATGCACTAACACACCCATGGAGCAGCCATCAGGAGCAATTTGGGGTTCAGTGTTTTGCCCAGTGATATTTTGACATGCGGACAGGAGGAGCCTGGGATTGAATCACAGATCTTCTGATTAGTGGATGACCCGCTCTACCTGTGAGCCACAGAAAATTTATCACAGGTATTAAATTGAAAGTAGCAAAGGGAAATAAGGTTGATGAGAGCGGAGTTACAGGCCATCATAACCGTGATTTAGAAGAAGCTAAATATGAGCCGGAACTGTTATTCTTTGTGTGTTAATCACTACAGACAACCCCTTTTTAAAATGCACAGTCTTTTGATCATGCAGCTTTAAACATAGTAAACATAGGCCATATGTTTTAAAACATGCACCCTCAGTTTGAAAAAAAGTGAAGAAAAAAAACCCACGCTGTATTGTCATTCATTCGTAATATTACCCTCAGTAACAATTCAAATGTTCCTCATTACATCTTTGTGCAAAACTCCAGACTGACAAACACCAGAAATGCACTTGATATACTTTTCTGATATTTCTCTTTCCTTGTTAGAAGATGTCACATTGATGAAATAACACGCTCACACTCCGAACAGAAGAGCTGTCTTCTCCAGAGGCCCGTCTGCACCTCTTACCAGAGATTACATCAATCAGTCTCCAAGTGAGACAAGCACTTCCTACACTGTAGCAGTTACTGGGAGGCAGGAAGACTTTTTCGAGTGACACCTTTATTTAATATTCATCAGAACGTGGGCCGCGTCAGCACGGACAGATGGCGCTCTGCTCAACAGGGCTCGACGCCACTTGAGTGTTTCTAACCTCATTCATCGCAATACAGATGAGCAACTGCAGCCGTGTTTTGTCTGGTTGGAAAACTTGCACACACTCTGATAGGCACACAATCACACACACAGGTTCATACACCTGGTTGTGTTACAGGATGTCACGGTGTTGGTGTCACATCACTGCTGCTGTTAACTGGTAGTTAAACTGGAGTGGATTATGGATTAGAAACACAACAGAATATTAAACAAATGATCACTACAACACACACACACACACACACACACACACACACACACATGTAGGCACAGCTCACTCTGTCTCCAGGGAAGGTATCGTGCTCCCACCTGAAACTCACTGAGGGACGGAGCTTCAGCCTACTTAACGAATGAACTCATTTAGCTCATTAAGCCTTTACCAATGCACTCTTCACCCATTACAGTCCAGATGCTCTCCTCTCATTCGCACAAAGTAAAACAACACAACAAGGAGTGTGTGTAACGTGTGTGTATTTTGTGGGTGATGTGAATGAGGACGCACCAGACGGAGGGGGAGAGAAAGAAACACTGAAAAAGAAACAAACGCATAGTCACAAAACTGAGACTGTGAAAAAAAGTGTGTGGTTGCAGATCACTATGGAGTCAACTGTTGCAGTTAACACTCCCCATGGGACAGCACAACCAGGAACACCATTTTAGGTGCATTTAGAGTTGTATTACCGACACTGAAGTGCTGCACTTCGATATTTTGGGAGTTTTCAAAGCTGCAACACTTCAGCAGCTGTAACAAACATTAAGGCTCACGTGCTGGAGGACCCAAATTGCATAATGAGGTATTTTAAGCAAAGGGCATCACTGCTGAGCAGAGCCAGTTCACCTGCCCCTCCCAAACTCACTCTGTTAGGGGTGGTACCAAACCCTCAGGCTGGGAGTATTCTCTGTGTCCTGATTCATGGCTGGATGCTGTGAAGGACATGGTCATGGGACATGTCCGAACTGTTCTGACTTTACGAGTTTACAAAGATGTAGAGAGAAAGCAGGGTTTGAATGCACCATTATACTCACCAGCCTGCAACAGATGTGATACTGTTGTTAGAATTACTATATCTAACATTACCAGATTCTAACTTGTAAACATCAACGACTTATTAAAATTGGAAACCTGATATATCCAATTTTGCACAAAACAACACGGGATGTCGCCTCCGTCGTTCAAATTAATTAAATGCAAATGCAACAGATGAAATGTGAAATCAATGCAAACTATTTTTAACCCTCACATGACCAATTCTGCTCTCACTGAAAAATAATT